TATATATATATATATATATATATATATATATATATATATATTGAGACAGAGAAAGCATGCATGTATATATTATATATATAGCTATAATATATATATATATATGCGTCTTTGTGTCTGTGTACAAATTAATTGGTTCTCTCCGTCTCCTCAAAATTTGAGCGCTTCTTTTTTCTTTTATATATATATATATATATATATGTACATGTCTCATAGTGAAAATGAGCAGGAGCGTTTGAAAGGCCACTATCATTTTTCTGTCTGATGTCTCTTATGTTCTTAGAAGGAGTTTATTTGCTTAGGGAGATAATATTTGTTTGTTTATTTTTTTGTTTTTCATTTCTTTTCGTTCTCCTTTTTTTTGCATTCTGTCTCTGAAAGTCACCTCAACACAAATAAAGCCATAGAGACAGAGAGCAGTTGAAAGACCCAGCAAGATAATATTGATTGCTGCAGCAAAGTGCAGTAAACCCTAAACCCTAAACCCTAAACCCTAAATCCTTGTGTGCATAAAGAAGACGCGCCGGTGGTGTTTCGAGTGTATTGGGAGGTGCTTTCTGTCTTGAGTTTTAATTTGTTGATATTGTTTAGAAAAAGAATGATATATTGGCAATATATAAAAATATATTTGTTTTGTTTTAGTTTGCAGTGTATGTACAGCTCTGATGAATGCAGGGGGCGGTCTGTGCGGCAATGGTCTTGTGTGCACGAGTGTGTTTAAGTAAGTTTTCACCAAAAGAATAAAATGTTTGAATATAAAGGTAAGTTTATTTAATTATTTTAATTAAGATATATTTTATTGTCTTTATACAGCGAAATACGGAGAAAATGAAGCAACTTATGCTGCAGCTTTCTTTGCACATTCATCATACTCACAGCCACCGGGCTGTCAACACTATGCAGTGCGGTTGCGGCTGCTCAGTTTGGGAATTGAGCATATCTTTGTCTTTTAAACAAATATTTTGAAGAGGAAATCTATAATAAAAAAGAATTTCATTTCCTTTGAGGTTTCTGCTTCCTAGATCTGCGTCTTCTTTGTTTCTTTCTCTCCGCTTTCTTACGGCGGCCTGCTGCGGAGAGTTTTCGTTGGTTTGTTGGTGCATTGGGTTGATATTTGGGTTTATTTTGTCAAATTTAAGGTGAATATTTCATTTATTTTCTTTTTAACGATTGAAAATGGGTAGAGGAGGGGGAATGTGCAGCAAGGTTGGAGGGCGTGAGAACCCTGCAATTGCAGCATGGGCGATTTCTGCAACGCTGATGGCTGCAGTATCAATGACCCTCTTTCTTCTTGCAGAAGCTTCTCAGTTAACAGATACAGCAGGAAAGGGTTTAGACTCAGATGAATATGGAGAAGTAATGTTTGTATCTCGATCAACATTTTTAGGTTTGGGGGCTTTGCATGCAGTTCTTTTCTTACTTTCTTGTCTTATAACAATCCTCGGGTATTTCTTCTGGTCGAAGTTTCTCTGTTTTGCTTGCCCTTTAGTGATTATTAATGATATTGCTTGTCTTGTTACAGCAGGATTTGGAGGTTATATGCTTCACCGAGTGTATGTTCACCGTACAGATCAAATAGATATTGCGCGTATAGGGGGTGTGCTTCCTTCAGCAGATTTTTCTCTTTCTTTTGTTGATGCGCATGCATCACTTATTCTACTTGTTTCTGTATGCTCTCTTGCATCCTTGGTCCCTCTATCTCGAGCAGGAACAATAGATGAGAAAGGGACGATGGTTGATGTTATGCTGCATCTACCAGTCATAACAGGGTGTACAGCTACTGCAGGTTTATTCTTATTTCCTAGTAAAGAATCATTCTATACAGTTGTTGGATCTCTCTGGCTTATTGCTGCAATTGTTGCAGCTATTCTTGTAGCTTTGCAGAAGTGCGGGGGTATAACAAGCCGTATATTTACTCTGCTGCTAGCAATATTTTATGCTGTTGTCTTAGCTTTATCTGTGGTGTCTGTGGCTGTTGCTGGTAAGCATTTTATTAAAGGAAGGAGACAAGTTATTGATTATGTGCGTACAAATGCAGCATTAAAGCCTTCTTTCCTACGCAACATGTCTGATGAAGATTTCTCTTCTTATAAAAATTATATTGTTCAAAATGAAGGCGGTTTCAATCTTGCTGCTGTTGTTCTTTGCTCTCTACTCTTCATCTTCAGCTTCATGGGAGCTCTCTTCTCTCTACGTGCTGTTGTTGGCGGGTCTGATGCTTTAAGAAGAGATCTCTCTTCTAGTTCTAGCGAAAAAGATTAAACAATGCATGCATATGCATGCATGCATGCATACATGCATGCAGCAGCAGCAGCAGTTTATACAGCAGCAGTAGCTATTTATACAGCAGCAGTAGCTATTTCATACAGCAACAGCAACTCATGCAGCAGCTATTCGTACAGCAGCAGCAACTCATGCAGCAGCAAATGATGCAGCAGCAAATGCAGCAGCAATTGATGATGTAGCAGCAGAGGCAGCTGCAGCAGCGCATGCAGCAACAACAGCTGCAGCAGCGGAGGCAGCAGAAACAGTAGCCGAAGCAGCAACACCAACAGCTGCTCCTGCAGCAGCACCAGCATCAGCAACGCCAGCAGCAAGAGTAGCAGCAGCAGCAGCAGCAGCAGTAGAGGCGCTGTTCTGTCATAACATCGGACGGTAGAAATAAATAAACAAATAAACAGAAAAAAATAAATATTATGTTTATTATTTTAAGAAATAAGTATGCTAATGGTATGTATAGAAGCTAGAGGGAAGCAGACAGCAGCAGCAACAGCAGCAGCAGCTGCAGCAGCAGCTGCAGCAGCAACTACAGCAGCAGCAGCAAATGCTGTAGCAGCGCATACAGCAGCAGCACATGTAGCACCAGCGCATGTAGCAGCAGCACATGCAGCAGCAGCAGTATATGCTGTAGCAGCAGATGTTGCTGCAGCAGCAGCAGACTCGGCAGCAGCAGCAGCAGCAAATGCTGCATGCATTTGTCTGTCTTTTTCTGTTTTTGTTGACAGTTAACTTATTTAAGAGCGTCTTCCGCACTTTATTTATTTCTTTGTTTTCTTTATTTGTTTATTCTTTTTATTTATTTGTTTTGTTTACTTATTCTTTATTTATTTATTTATTTATTTATCTTTTGTCTGTATATTTATTAATTTATTGTTTTAATTTTAATTTTTAAGTATTTTTTGTTGGGGCTGCATCTGTTTCTTCTGCATGCATTTGTTTTATGCATTTCTTTTCTTTATTTTGTTCGTTGCTTCTCCTTTGTTTGTTTCTTTTTATTTGTTTATTTCTTCTTCTCTTGTTTTGTTTTTTATTTGTTTTGTTTTTTATTTGTTTTGTTTATTCGTTTGTCTTATTTGTTTACGCCTCCTCTCTATGCCTCATACACATATATCTCTATATTATATATATATATATATATATTTGTTTATTTATATAATTTATTAATATTTATTTTACTTTCATCTTATGTATAATTACATTGATAGACAAATAACAGAATATATGTTTAGTAGGATTTGTATGTCGTGCGTATTGTCAAAGCATTGTTTATATATATATATATATATATAATACATATTATATAGATATA